GCTCAGCAGTGGTTTTTGTCTTGGAACTCTGCCATGCAAACCATTTTTGCCCAGTCTCTTTCTTATGGTGGAGTCATGAATACTCACCTTAACTGAGGCAAGTGAGGCCTGCAGTTCTTTGGATGTTGTTGTGGGGTCTTTTGTGACCTCTTGGATGAGTTGTCGCTGCGCTCTTGGGGTAATTTTGGTCGGCCGGCCACTCCTGGGAAGGTTCTCCACTGTTCCATGTTTTCGCCATTTGTGGATAATGGCTCTCACTGTGGTTCGCTGCAGTCCCAAAGCTTTAGAAATGGCTTTATAACCTTTTCCGGACTGATAGAGCTCCATTATTCTCTTTCTCATTTGTTTTTGAATTTCTTTGGATCTCAGCATGATGTCTAGCTTTTGAGGATCTTTTGGTCTACTTCACTTTGTCAGGCAGGTCCTATTTAAGTGATTTCTTGATTGCGAACAGGTGTGGCAGTAATCAGGCCTGGGTGTGGCTAGAGAAATTGAACTCAGGTGCGATAAACCAGTGTTTTGACAGGGGGGCAAACACTTGTTCACACAGGGCTATATAGTTTTGGATTTTGTTTTCCCTTAATAATAAAAACCTTCATTTAAAAACTGCATGATGTGTTTACTTGTGTTATCTTTGACTAATATTTAAATTTGTTTGATAATCTGAAACATTAAAGTGTGACAAACATGCAAAAATATAAGAAATCAGTAAGGGGGCAAACACTTTTTCACACCACTGTATATCCCCACAGCCCGAGGTGGCGCCATCAAACATCAAATGTCTTAATTTGTTCACCAGTCTAAAATGCAAAGATAATTAGTTTATTATCATGCATTTTTCCACCTCTTCCAATAATTGTTTTATGTAGATGTAAAATATATATGTTCTGATTTGTGGTTTATGCATCTGAATGAAGAAATGTGAGAAAATATGAGCATGCAGTATCCAGCGTTTGAATATCTGCTGCCGTCTCTGACAAGGCCGTACCAGTTACTGCCTGTGCTCTGCCTGGAAGTAGGAGATGTCTCCCTCACATGTACACTTACAGTCTGGCACGCACACACACACACACACAGACACAACTTCAAAACCCCACCATGAGAAGCAGTGACGCGGTTGTCATGGTAACCGGGGTTGAAGTGCCCCTTGACAGCTGGGGAAACTGGGGTGGCTGGACACATCATGTGATCATCTGGCACTGTGAGGCCTTCACTATGTTGGGAAAAGATGCTATCCAAGACGAGCCTGCAGCTGCATTTCTTCTTCTCTCTCCAACTTCTTACTCTTTTGCATCCACTTTCTCACACCAATTACAGCTGCAGACATACAGGTACATTTACCAAACACTTTCACCAGTCTTGATTTTCTCTTGTAGTCTCACCAGCATCGAAAGCATGTTAGAGAACCACAACGTTCACAAGACTTCACACTGGACACAAGGTAGCTAATCACAACCATCAAGTGACTGGCATGCTGATGGTCTAGTCCATCAGGTATCCCTTGAATAAAATACTTACAAAATACATAAAACAGCAAACAACTGCAACTAACCACTGGCATGCCACCAGGTGAACATGAACTCATATTTTTTCTATTAACTATATAATGTTGAGCTGCCGTTCGGAATAAGGAGACAGGCAGCACACTTGTATTTCTGTCGAAGCAGTGCTTTTATTTGCCATTTTTCTTTGTGAGACAAACTTGTAGCCTAGTTTGCTTTGAGCTTCTCTCATTAGTTAACCATTGTGCATGCTGTTAGTGAAACTGTGATGTGTGCCATCTCGCACTGATAACGATTCCTCTTATTTATAATTCCTCATTGAAATGTTTTCCCTGCGCATGTTTGCTAGCTTCATATGCCAGAAACAGTCAGTAAATGGCTGTGCGTTGCACTTTTCTTACTTTCAGGGGTAATTTACAAACTATGTACCAAATGTTACCTACAGAAGTCAGCGACAAAGCAGAGTGACTAAAGGAGAAGACCATGGATGCCATAGAGGTTTCCTCGTGCTGCCTACACACACACACACCAAGTGAGCTCCTGGGCAGCTCTGGGGGTGGGGGGCTGGCCCCACACTAGCTGGCATAGCTGACAAGGCATACCGCACCCCTACAGTACCCAGGGAGAGGGAGCACAAAGGTCTCATTGTGTGTGCTGCACCCTTGTAGTGCTGCCTGCAGTATTGTTCTGCTGTTTGCAGTCTTTCTGCCTGCATGTGAGCATAGAGCTCTGTCTCTCCGACACTGTTAGAATGTGGAGTGCCTCAGGGTTCTGTTTTGGAACCTAAAATTATTTATATTATACATTAATGATATATGCAAGGTTTCTGATTTAGTGAAAGTGGTTTTGTTTGCTGATGACACTACCATATGGGCATCGGGTGAAAACCTACAGCAACTCTCTGGACGGGTTTCACAGGACCTTGAGCAGATAAAGAAATGGTGTGATAGTAATATACTATCTCTGAATTTGGATAAAACTAAATTAGGGAATCATAGACTAGATAATGAACTTCAATTGAAAATTGGGGGAGCTAATATAGAACGAGTATATGAAATTAAATTTCTAGGTGTCATAGTTGATGACAAATTCTCCTGGAAATCTCATATCAGATATGTTCAGCACAAAATAGCAAAGAATATATCGATATTGGCAAGGGTTAGATATATTTTGGACGGGAAAGCACTACGCATTTTGCATTCTTCATTGGTTTTACCATACTTAGAGTATGGCGTTGAAAACTGGGGAAACACATACAAAAGCTCACTTCAACCATTGTATATATTACAAAAAAGAGCAATAAGAATTGTGCATAAGATGGGGTACAGGGATCACAC